GACATTAAATGCTGAGTTTGAGAGGGGTTAGAAACCAGGACTGGATATGCTAAATCTCTATTGAGCAAAAATCTGCACATAGCCTGAAAGGACAGACTCTTTTCCTCTTATTAGGCCTATTCAGTTATCACTCATCAAAGAATCTGGCTCTAAAAATACATTTTTAGAACTATACTAGTCACCCCTTGCTATCTCAATCTCTTCCTTTCTCCGAATCCTCATGTAACACAGTAAAAATACACTATACAGTGCACACTAGTATTGGGTAGTAGTTTTGAACTGCTTTCTACTCATCAAATTCATGAAGGTCCTTAACAACCTAGAACTCAAAGGCAGCAGAGTGTATTATTTTATTCATTTACCAGGTGTGTAGTGTATTCAGTGCCCAAAGTGCCAGTTCTTGGGAGTTCACATAAGGTAGACAAGGTCCCTGCAGATATGTAGTTCAGTCTATTGGGCAAACAAGTAGCTTGGTCATTGCAATGTGATATGACAAGTGATGTAATAAAATACTGAAAATTCTGGACATTCATTAGAAGTGTTCTCTCTCTCAGATTGGAGCATGCATAGGAGGCTTCATGGATGAGCTGAATTAAAGGTTTATAGTTAGTTGCCCAAGATTGAAGAGGACATTCTAGGCAAAACCAGCAGCCAGTGCAGTCAGGGAGGTGGGTGGGAAACCGCATAGCGTTCTGCATGACTGGCTGTATGTGTCCACAAACAGCAAGCCATAAGGCCAGAGGACAAGCAGGGCCCAAGACATTAAGGTCCTTTATTAATCCTGGTTTATATTTTATTCTACAAGCAGTAAGTCATACAAATGTTTTATTCAGAGAAAATACACTATGCCAACCAGAAAGTTCACCAACAAAAGAATGAGCAGGGATGAAGCTGGGTTTGGCTTGATTTTGGGTTTTTTTAACTTAATGAAGAAGGCTCCAGAGCTATACATAAAGACAATGAGCTATCCAAGAACTAAATGGACATGCTTTGGTGATTTGACACTAAATGCACTGTTCCGCTCCTCTCTTCTTCCCTCCTTTTCCATGCTCCCATGCCCAGTCCTATTATCAGGTTCATTTTCTTACCTTTAAAAGTAAAAGGCAACCTCTGGTACAGTAGTTAGTCCATCCTTCATTTTATCCCATTACCCAATGTCCCATTTAATTTCTTGCCATTGTACTTTTGAGCTACAGGTGCACATCTTGAATGTCAATCGGAAGATTTTTCACAGAGAATAATAAAACAAAAAAGGCACATTCTTACTTAGCAACCCTAAGTGCTATTAACCTTAAGTACCCCTACACACTGATGCCAGCACACCCCAAAGGACCAGAGGTCTGTAAAATTTGTTCTTTAACAATCTCACACATGGACATTTTAGAGCTGAGCTCCAATGCTTCAATTGAACAAGTGGTGCTTAGGGAATACAGGATATTCTTAAGACAGATGCAACACTGGACAAGTGCTGTGCAACAAGATTATTTGAAACTAAAATAAGGAGTTCTAAAGCAAGAGATTAAGTAGTGTTTTGATCCAGGCAAGGTTTCTTAGAGTCTGACTTTTATAGAGAAGACAAACCCACTAGGGTGAAACGAGAAGTCCTTGGAAGGTAGAAGCTCGGCTGTTTTGATTGGAACCTTGGAATGGCTGAACCACTGTGGCTCCTTGGCACACATCTGCAGAGCTGCTTTGGGTAACTGCCTAAAGTTACCTACTGTCTGCCTTACCTTGAGCTCACTGTTCTCCCTCACTTCTGGAGGCTGAAGACATTGCAATAAATCCAGTAAAAACTGGATCATCAGGATACTGGAGAATCTGCCAGTTAGAACTGTGTAACCTGGGGCTGGTCATTCAGTCTTGATCCAGTCACACAGTTAAGAAATCAAGATATGAACCAAGGACTTTCTAAAATGTCATATCTGGGCTTACAGCAAATATGGCCATCCAGAGGCCCCTTTAAGAGCTATTTCAGAGACTTTAAAGAGAACTCCAAGAAAGACCAATCCCAGGATGCAGGCAAAATCCTCAAAGTTGTCCTGAAACCCACTTGAGCTCAATTCATTCAAGATCATTGTGAACCTATTCAAATATATCAGAAGGACATTATCTTTCCTCGGTGAGAGAAAGTGCTATCCAGGTTTACATGGGATTGCTTAGATGCTGTGCCTCTGGCAAACAATTTACCAACAAATAAGAACCTTCACTATTATCAATCCAGTGTTTTTCTGGAACTCAGTAACTGCAGGCTCATTTGCTAAAATCAGACTACTAATTAGCAGAAACCCTAGAACCAACCAGGTCTTGGTCCTGTTTCCACTACAGCAGACCTCTCCATGTCCTTGACAAAGAGCATATTAAATTATCTTTGATTTAGTAAACACTTTTGAGTTGTATAATCCCTCTCCTAATAAGCCCCCAGTTCCCCAATATTTGTTTTATATTTCTATAGCTTATGAGGACTTTTGTCTGATCTGTCTCCCCTACTGTAGACTGATTTCCTTTAACGTAAGCAGTTGTCACATTAATCTACTTTCTGAGCTTATCACAGTGCTTGGTACGTGGTAGGCTTTTAAAATTTGTTGAATGAATTAAGACGACACTGTACTGTCTCTTACCTATAACTGTTTCTTGGGAGAAAGTCCACTTCAATCATTTTAAGCAAGATGAAACACTCCCATTCAAGACCTAAAAACAAGGTCAGTAAGACTAAACATAAACTTAGGTTTTCTGCTACTTACTATTCAAATAAGTGTAAAAAATACATGTATTACAAAAGAAAATTCATCAGCTAATTGGCAAATGAAAAACTCAGTAGCTACATTTGAAAGACTAACTGCAAAAGATTCAGAAAAACACTAGGATCCCAAGAACTTAATAATAAAAAAAATAGACAATTCACTAAAATGAAAAATACACAAGGCTAATAAAACATTTTAAAACTTTCTACTCTCACTAGTCATTATCTACCCATCAAATTAATGAATTTTTAACCAAATGTTAATTCAGAAATGATGGTGTGAAGTAAAAGGGCAGTCATAAACTCAAGGGCTGTGGGGAGGGAACATGAGCATGACTATGTGGATAAGAAACCTTAAAACTAGTTATATCCCCAAGTATGCAAGTGTGACTATGTGTGTCTATACATATGTGTGTGTATATGTGTATATATATAAATGTACATTTAAAAATAACTTTATACTTTTCTACACACTTCTTAAAATCTATATTCTAAGAAATTAAAGTGTTGATTAGAATTTATGCAGCGTGACTGAAAGGTTAAGAACATGGCTTGATCACTTACTAGCTATGTGATCATGAGTGAATTATTTTCTGGGCTGTTTGCTTGTCAGCCAAATGGTGTTTTTTAAAGGAAAAAAAAAAAAGACCCTACTTTATAAGGTTGGTGTAAAAACTGAGAATATATTACAGTTTAAAACAGTGCCTGGCTTAGAAAGTGCTCCATGTTAATCTGCTTTTACTCCACAATTATAAATGTATGTATAAATTTGGTTAACAGCCTAATGTTTTATCACAGAAGAATGTTTAAAAAGATTACACTAATTCCATACAATGGCATATTATTATACAGTCATTAAAATGTTGTTCATAAAGAATTTTTAATGTTGGATAAATGCTTATTTTAAGTGAAAAAGCATGATATAAAATGAATATAGAGTATGATTTCAATTATGTAAAATATACACCAATATATAAAAATATCTAGCAGAAAACAGATCAAAATATTAAAACTAGTTATTTTGGGTAGTAGAATTTGACCTGCTTGCTACTATTTTCTTCTTTATACTTTTCTACCATTAATCTTTTTTTTTTTTTCCACAGCAAGGAAGGTATCACTCTCAAGATCAGGAAAACACCATAATTTTAAAATGTTAAAATAAGGCAACAAATGGGTAATTTAAAAAATTTACAGAAATCCCCAACTTTTCACATATAAATGATATAATACAGATATTGTGGCTTTCCAAAATTCAATTATTTTCTGTTGAATTTACAAATATAGAGTACTGTATTAATGCAAAATCAGTATTACAAACAACATAAAACAATAAATATCCCTAGGCTGAGTCTGTTTATAAATGAACGTGCGAAATTCAGCATCTAGGACACATCTCCTGACTGAAACCAATGTCCCCTCAGGCCAGTTTCCTCCAAGGGTTACAGCCTTCAGCTGATTCTGACCCAAAGCACTATCCGAACCCTAGGCAAGCAGATACCTTGCTGGTAGAACCTTCACCCAGCTTCACGCCATGCTCTGGCAGCTTTTACTTTTTCTATCCATTAAGAAGTTCTCATACCTTCTTCAATTTTCAAAGGGAAGAATTCCTCCTGCCTGGTTGCAAGGAAAAGAAAGAAGACAAGGCATTCCCTTCATTCTAAATAAACTTTCCAGGATATTTTTCAATTCATTATGTGCAAGTGTTTCCCTTCTTAAACAGCTTTAGAGTGGTGTTCCTAAACTTCACCTTTTAGATTGTCTCACCTTAATTAGTCCAAAACACTAGCTTCATTTCAGTCAATTTCTGCCCTTAGAGTACTTGGTCTGCTTAATGTTTAAATATCAGCTTATGTAAATATCATTTAAGACCTCAACAGTTTTTTAACAACAGGACCAATGAAAATAAACAATCATAATTTACAGGATAGTTTGTGACATTCTCCATATTCTCAATAGAGTGTCAAAGAAACTTTTTGTTTAGCAATCAGTATTTTCACCTAACCAGCACAGACTAAGATACTACTATTTTACCCATAATGCTGACAAACCACGCTAGCTGATGTGTATCAGTCAGTTATTCATGCAAACATCCATTCATATTGCATTAACCACATCACTTATAAGTGATGGAATAAAAAGACACGCCCCAGATGCTAATGTACTTTGTTGCTCTCTGTGACATTTCTCGCAGTAAAGCCTTGTAACAGCCTATTGCTTTAATGAATATCATACTTTACAAATTAATACAACACAATACAAATGCACCATAAATTTATATTTGTTAATCTTGATATTAGAACATTTAAACATTTCAAACTACATAAAAATATGACAAACAATATAAAATACAAAGAAATTTGTTGACAACTTACTTCCAAAACATCACTATTTCTTATATTGCAATTAAGCAACAAGACAGCTTACATAGCTCTCCAGAAAATATAGTGTTTCTAGTGGAGTGTTGTTATCAACAAAAATCAGCACAATCCCACACAATAATGTCTCCAATTTATTATCTTTTCCACAGTACAATTCTTTCACGAACCATACGTCCTTTGCAGTTACTTGAAGTCTGTAAACAAGTGCCTGAATCCCTACCCCCCACCTCGGTATAAGCTTGAGAATGTTTGAAGTCCTTCAATCAAGTTTCAACTCCTCAACTTGCATAAGGAATCAAGAGCCTTCTCTCTTTAGATTATTTATATTTTATCATACAGCCTGAAATGCAATAAATCACAGTGAAAGCCCTGGGGAAAACAAAACAATATGATCTTTACAGCAGGACTTGAAACTTTATAATATTAAATGCATTTGAGGAAGCATCCCATAATAAAAGCATGGGTTTTCATTTCCAGAAATCAAGTCAATTAGAAACCCTAGTTTCTACTTAAAAACCCATTTTGATCTAAAAGTGAAAACAGTCCCCTATCCATAGTCATTTTATAAACTCTATACAGTTTCACTTGCAGAGATTTTTTTTCCAGTCTGGAAAACAGTAGTGCAATTAGTTTTACTTCCTTTAAGTTATTTAGTCCATGATGTAAATAGCTCTGTGGAAAGATAAGAAGATGCTCTGGTAAACAAGAATTTTGCAAGCCCATGCTGGCTTACTAGTCCATTAAAGCTTGTAAGTCCATAGTGGCTTTTAACAAAATGTTATATATACATCACTAACAACAATGCAGAAATAAATAGGCAGAAATGGCTGTAAACTGTCTCATCTCTCAATGATTTTTCAGTAATAACTGGCTTGACGATTTACTATAGAATCACTTAAATAAGCGGACAGTAGACAGTTGCCCTTAAGGACATTCCACTATGGCATCCAGTCTGGAAAGCCTGAATGGAGTTACATTCCTAAAATTAAAACAAAAAAACCCAGGGAGTGGAGGGTAAGAGAGAAAAGTTTACAGATGCCACTTAAATGGAATTCCATCAAGTCAGCCAGGTCACTTAGACTTCTTCTTAAAGAGGCTTTTGATTTTTGATGGCTTTTTGCTCTTCTCTCCATTGTGATAAAGGTCATGTGGGATGCTGCTTATCCTAGTAACCTGTGGGACTTCCTGAATGGGTTTGCTGCCATTGCCAGCTGAGGAGCACGATGTGTGGCGAGGTTTAGGCACCGGGGTGCCACTAGAAAGCTGGTTCATGCTACAGGACTTCTCCAAGATGCCATTGTACACTTTGCTTGCAGGACTGAAGATCATGCTCTTGGTTTCTGTGAGACCTACACAATCAGGAGAGCCCCGGGAGAGATCTGCTGTTACAGGCGAATCTCCTCTGGAGGAATCCTCCAGGGAGAGCTCATCTCTGGATATCTTTCGAGGGGACAATGTTTGGTATATCTCGAGGCTTGAAGGAGGAGACTGTTTCCTTCCAATGGAAGAGTTTAAGGAGTCACACTCTGAAGCTGTGTCTGGCGCTTCCCTGAATGAGACAGGCAATGGTAAAAATTTTAGGTCAATCTGCTCTTAAAGAGTACTGGCAGACACTGTAATTAAAACAACTTTCATTGATTCTTTGTTGAAATATTAAAGGAGAAATTACACATTCCTATAAGCATTTCAACAAAACTAGAATATTTCTATTTCCATACAACTCATTAAATTTGATGTTTAATTTTTAACAAATTATATCTTGCAAACTAAGATTATAACTTAAGTTATGCTTTTTCAATTGAGAAAGAAATGAAAACATCTGAATTTAACACTTGAATTTTTGTGTTTTCTTCCAGTACTGAGCATTTTTTTCTTTAAAAAGCACAGAATACTATATATTTGAAAAGATGGAATTTTAGTCACTGCTTTTCCCTTCATTTAAGTTTTTAGTTATTAACATGATGAAAATATAGCTTCCCAAGCAAGTAAAGGAACACACCACACTATAATATGAGGCCTACCAAGTTTTAAAAAGGGGGCAGGGAGTTGAAGTATGGCAAAAAAGAGTGGATGTGAGGGAAACGGCAACTATAGAATGCTAGTGTTAAAAAGTGGGCAGTCAATAAATTCTCACATTATTATTTCTTTGTGAATGTTTCTCCCACTTTCTCCACAATGGAAAGAGAAGAGAAATAAAGAAGAGCAGAAAAATAAAGTTTATAACCTAACAACCATCATAGAGTAAATGCTATTTCTTCAAAACATACCTCAAATCAGTACTTCTATTACTGCCTTGCTACCATTCCTCTTCCAGAACCACCATGAAGTCAACTAGGAGTCCATACTTTAATTGTCTCTCTACTTCCATCCTGATGCTTCCCTTTCAGTTACTTATCTACACAGCCACTGATGTGACTTTTAAAAAATCCAATCAGTGTATGCCATTCACTTGCTCAAAACTTTCCAATGCTTTCTTTTATAGAGTAAAATCCAAAGCACTGCTGGGCACTGGTGGCTCATGCCTATAGTTCTAGCTAATTGGAAGGCTGAGATTGAGAAGATCATGGTTCAAGGCCAGCCCAGGAAAATAGTTTGTGAGACCACATCTCCAAAACAACCATAGCAAAATGCAAGCAGAAGAATGCCTGCTTTGCAAGTGCAAAGCCCTAAGTTCAAAACCCAGTCCCATATAAAAAAAAAATTCCTGACAAAGCCCTATACATCTGGTCTGTGGCTGTATCTTTAACAGGGTGTCCTTCTTTTTCCTCACTCTATCATGGCCCCCTTCTTCCTCCTGCAGCATGCCTTGGAACTCCCTCAGGGCTTTGCACTTTTCCACTCTGTTATAACCTTCCCCTCCATTTCTCTGCGGCTTACTTTATTTGTGTCTGCTAGGTTACCACTTTTTCCACAGAGAGGCCCCTCTTAGCCACCCCATATAAAATAGCATTCCCTTTCCTTTTACCTATCTTTACCAACCCAACATATACTAGTAGCAAAAATGATGTAATTTATTAACTTGTTTATAATCAATATCACAAGAAGAAAGGAAACTTAGTAAGGGGGAGGGTCTTACTAACTTCTGTATTTTCTGCACTGAATTAGTGTAAAGCTCATTGCAAGAAATTAGTAAAAACTGAATGAATGAATGAAATCCTGAGGAATAGGAACCATGTCTAATTTGTTTTTGCATGCCCTGAACCCAACATAAATATTGTTTATTCCATGAAAGAGGTAAGATTAAGAAATAAAAGGTAGAGCCAGGTTATAAGTAACAGGACAAAGAAATAAAGTGAGAAAAGGAATGGTGCTGCAGACAGGATGGAAAAACAAGAACACATATTATTATAATTCACCAGCTAGGCTAGGACCAGCTTACTTGTGACAAGCATAGCAAGGACTAAATTCCTATTTACAGAATGAATGAATTGAATGATCTCTCACCTTGGATGGCCTATGATTACTGTCACTTTTCAGATTATTTATATGTACTTATTTTTGACAAATATTTTATAATACTGTATTTTAGATATAAATTAGATGGCTGAGTTAATTTAGTCATTTCATGCACTTTATTCCACAAGTATGTGAAGATTATCTTTACTACAATCTCCCAGAAGTCGTAAGATTCCCTGGCTAATCAAGATTTAAATAATGGTTTCATATAATATACCTACATGCCAGAGATAATTTTCAAGTGCTTTCACTATTTGATAGTGGGTCCTGCTACCGTAGGCAGGAGGCAGTTAAGATACAAAGAAATATCAAACTCAGAAATCAATAAATAGTATGGACATTTCTGTAAAGCATCTTTTTGAAGTGGATGTCCGTTAACTGAACAGAATATGTAACTGTTCCCTGAAGCTATTGAGTGTCCAAAGTCAAAGCTGATTTACTTAAAATTTATGTGTTTACTTTCTTTTCTTCCATGTGGCTTTTGGCTGCTCTGTGTGTGAAAAGAATACTGATCTAGGTTAAGAGATGTAGATTCTCATCCTGGTCCTGCTATTAATTACCTGTGCAATCTTGGGCAAATATTTTCCTATCTGCTAAAGTAAAAGAATCTGATTGATCTTTAGTGTTACTTCTAGTTCTATAATATTTGATTTTCAAAACAAATAATAATCTAATATATTGCTCCTTCCTAACTAATCAGATTTGGAATGTAGGTATAGCACAACTTAAAATTTACATTCTTTCAAGTATATGGTTTTTTTTGACTACTGAACTTAACCATGTGTACTATTTATCCTATTTTTTTATTCATTTTTCCCTACAGTGACATATGGTTAAATCCACACAAGTTTCACAAATGTATAAAAAGAGACACGGGTGAATCATGTATGTGAAGCATGTATGTGGATAATGTATGAACATAAAAAGGCAGTAAATATTAAAAACTGTTACCATTTTGTAAGGATTCTGGTGGTTCATGAGAGATTTAAAAGAGGGGAAAATGTTTTCTGAATTCAAATTCTTTTCATATTTATGAGGTAGCTGTGAACTGCTGACCTGCTACCTGAGATGAGGACTGAACACGGGAAAAGCTCTTGGGTTTTCCTACTACTTTCCAAGAGTCACAAAAAACCACTGTGGTCTGTCAGTAAAGCCAGCTCTCTGGTGATCATGGTTATACTGACAAGATGTACACAAAAGCTAGTCCTAAAGTACTAACCAAGAAAAGTTGCATCAAATTCTCTAATTGCAATGAGGATACAAAACCTGAATTCTCTATTTGGGAATAAGCTTCACTGATCACCTTCTAATAAATTACCTTACACTAGTAGGTAAAATAATGATGGATGAAAAAATGATCATATGACAATCTAGAGCCACGATAGAGAGCTATGAGGGACACTGAGAGCACCCAGCCCATTGCCTTTGTTTTGTTTATGGATGTTAAAACTCTGAGGCCACAGGGCTACTAAGTAGCAAAGTCAGAAACTGACAGCAGTTTTTCTGTCAGTGCCATTCCATTTCAAAAGAGGAATGTGGTTTAGGCCTCATCAACTGCAACAGGCCTCAGGGAGCACTGGTATCTCTAAGCTGGACTAGAATACATTATTCTATACCCATTTAGTAAAAGAAATTAAGTTGGAAATTTAATTCAGCATTTCCTCCTTTAAGGGTTTTTCTCAAACCTTGGTTGTAAGATACTACTTATATGATAGCAAGTATCAGCAGACAACAGAATAAATCATGAAGTAGAACAAATAATTTTAAAACCTCAGTCAATTATATTTGATGTTTCTTTGTGTGCAAGTTTATTTAAGCTCAAGCTTCTGTATTTTAATAGAAAACTGTTCATTTGACAAGTTTATATTCTGACTCAAGTCAAATGTGTGCCATGGCTTCTAAGCAGTTATATCTCAAAATACTGACTTACAGAGATCTGTGGTAGGCAGAATTCTCCAGACAGCTTCCAAATTCCCAGTCCCTGGTGGGTATATATATACACACACACCTTCTCCCAGTTATTTAAACAAACACAAATTCAAGTGCTGCTGGGAAGGTACGTCACAGATAAAATTAAGGCCTCAAACTTATTGATCTTAACATGGAGAGATTATCATCCTACTAAGGAAATCTGAGTCCAGAGACTCGATCAGAGATGGAGGAAATCAGGATTCAGAGCAAAGGCTGGATTTACAGAAGGAAGCTTGTTACTGGCTTTGTCACATGGCAAGGAAGCCTTTAGGAACTGAAAGCAGACCCCTGATGAGAACGGCACAAAAGCAGGACCTCAGTCCTAAATCTCAAGGAACTGAATTCTGCTAAGACCGCATGAGCTTTGAAGGGAATCTCAGACTCTAAATAAGAACATAGTCCAGCCACCACCTTGATTTTAGCCTTCTGAGATCCTGAACAGAAACAGGCATACCAGTTGTGGACTTCTGACACACTGACCTAATACCCAGAAATGGGTGTTGTATGAAGTCACTGAACCTGGGGTACCGTGTGACACAACAACAGAAAGCTATTACAGTGCACCACAGCTCCCACCCACGCGACTCTGTATACTATGGTTTATTCACTGCCAATACCATTGCTTTTCAGCAGTGAAGTAAATGGCCTCCTCTTCCTCTTCATTCCGATAGAGTGCGGGGCAACTTGACACTGAGAGGATGTCTGGATCCGGGGAAGGCAACGCGTGCTGGGGATGCTGGGGGTGGGGAGAATGCCTAGGGTGGGCCGGGTGGGGAGCATGTGGAGGAAGTTGTGCTCGCTGGGACTGTGGCGATGATGGCACAATGCTGCGACGTGAGCGACACAAACTACTGCTTCTGGCCAAAGATCCGGCAGGTTTAGCCACAGGTCCTGAAAGACATAAGCCAATGAAAATGCTCAAAACATTCAATGTGTCCTTTGGGGTCGCTGCAAATACACTCAGGAGAACTGATGTCATTAATGTATCACAATTTAATCTTTATACAATAACTATGTAACTATTACCATTTTCAACCACCTATACTAGGAAAATGAAACAATAGGAAATAAAAATGTAACAAGAATGACAAGTCTAAAAATTAAACAGAAGTGAACGTAAACACATGTGGCTATAAAATCTAACAGTACTAACCACAAAGGCTTACAAATTTACCCAATATAACAAACCCTTAAATTTAAAAATCAGTAGATGTTTATAAAGAAACTGTATTTTATAGAAAACTTCTTTTATGAATGTTAAAATTAAAACAGGAGACTTAACAGTATAAAGTAGATTGCCATCCCAATCTACCTTCTTTTGCCTCTGAAACTTTTTGTGAAAATTGCCTATATGTAGCATTGCTTAGATCTAAATGACAAAACACTCAATATTTGTATAAAACTGTTAAATGAGGTTTTAAATATTTACCTCAAATTAATGGCAGAACTTCACCAATTATCATAGTAGTGAAAAATATTGTTCTGTATTGGATTGCCATTTTATAGACATCCTGACCCATTTCTTTAGATGGTATTAGGTTTAAGAGCCAATTCAAAGTTTATTTTGCTGAAAATTTGGAATGTATAAAATAATGGATTAACAAAAACTCATATCCAAAACATGTTGAAAGATTTGATAGTGCTTTTTTTCCTTTTAAGAGTAATAATATTTGAAATTATTGTAATTCAAAAACATAACCTTTTAAAGTCAATTTTTCCCAATAGATATGTTTTAATGTCATATAATCAATGTAACTAGGTTTTGACTAGTAGTAAACTAAGTACTTTTATGTATATTTGAAGGTGACTTCAAAAAACTCATGAGTAGGCTGACAGATGGCTCAGGCAGTAAGAGCTCCTGCCTAGCAAGTGTGAGACCTTGAGTTCAAGCCCCAGTGCCATCAACCCCCGCCTCCCCTCCACCCCGAAAAAAGTCCATAAGCAGTTCTCAAAGCTTATAAACTCTCAGGAACTACTAACAGAATAGTAGCCACCGCCCCAGTCCTCTGGCTACATTTCTATCTTCCTAGGTCACATGTTCCATGCATTCCACTTACCTGTTCCATTTTCTATCCCAAACTCAAGAATGTCACTTAACTGATTATTCCTTCCGTTCCTTTATTTTCATCATCTCTCTTGCTACTTAACTAATGCTATTTAAAATCAAATGCTGAAAAGACCAACCTACAAAACAAGCAAACAATTACAGCAACAAGAAAACTTCCTCTACCCCAGACTATTCTCTGACAAAGCATTCTTCCTTTTTATGAAAAACAGTGATCTATGTTATTGTCTCCAGAACTATGTCTTCACTCATTTGTGTAATAAATTGTAACGTGCTTACATAGTCAAAGTTTCACGGAAACAATCCTCCACCAGGTCGTGATCCACTTCTTAGTTACTAACTTCACCGAAAATCTTAATTCTGCTTTGACCTCTAACCAGCACCTGACATTGTTACTGTGTTCTTTCCTTCACTTCTCCCAGCAAATTCACTTTCATCTTTATCTGTCCCTGCTTGGTCTTCAAGGTTCTAAGCCTTATTCCATTCTTGTTTCATTTATTCATTCTAGCAATCCCATCCGCTCTCATGACTTTGATTATCATTTATAGTCTATAAAAGGCCACATCTATACTCTATGTTTAATCTTTCTCTTCGACTTCATAGCCTTAAATCCAACTGCCCACTGGATACTTGAATGTCCCACAGAAGCCCAACTGAATGCAACATTTTCCTCTTGAAATTCATTCCTTCTTCTGTATCCCTTGTCCCAGTAAATAACATCACCACCTACCCAATTAAATGAATTATAAACACAATTCTTGACTCTTCTTCCTCCATCATAATCCACATCAAATTAACCATGAAGTGTTTCCAATTCTACCTCCATCTCTCTCAAATTTACCCACATCCCCACTGCCAATGGACTATATTGGGCTCCTAACTGATCTTTCCCTTCCAGTGCATTCTCCACATATTCACTCAAAAATGGAAAAGGAGAATTAAATTTTATTGCTTAAAACTCTTAAGGCAAACTGCTTAACACTTTAGTGATTCAATATGATCTAATATTTACAAACTGTATTTTGTGTTGTGTTTCTAAGTCAGGAAAAAAAATTTGATTTTAATAAGGGATTCCCCCACAAAACAGCCCAAAATAATAAGCAATGTAGATTCTTCTGGTTCTAGCAATGTGGTGTGGTCAAAGGTAGTCTGATCAGTACTCCCAACCTCCCAAAACATACTCTAAGTACTTTTGAATACTTCAATATGCTGGATAAATGCATAGCAATTGTCTTAAATGCATAACTGAGCTTGCAAGTAAGAACAGAAAATTCTCAAATGCCAAAACAAAGATAGTAAGAGAAAATACTAATCGGTCTATGGGTGATGCTACAATTGCTATGGAAGATTATCAGTCTCAGTAATCTAAGGGACTTGGGTTTAATTTGGGATTATGTCCACATGAGGCAAGGAATCTGAATTTTAAGTGAGTGACTAGAAGGTCTACTACATTCTCAGTGAAATGGCACATTAGAAAAAAAAATTTGACCAATGAATAAGGAATTTTTTCCATTGCATGTCTATATATAGGAATTTTAAAGGGCCCTATAAAAAACAATACTCTGGGACTAAACCTCCTATTAGCTTGTAGTTTAAGTTCTTATTACCAGAAGAATCTGTGAAACTGTAACCTAAAAATTGACCCTGAATTGGTGATATCCTTGTAACTACTGCCATAAGCAAAGAAAATCATTTTGAGGGTACTTTGACCTCTCACAAAGTTTTTATGGGAGGAAAAAAAAATGTTAATCCCATTAAAATTTTTTTATAGTTCAGTTAAAAAAAATGCAGCAAGACAGAAAATGCAATCTATGCAAACACAATAAGCTTATGAAATAATCAAGAATAACAGGATTATCAAATGAAAATAAGGGTCTAAAATCATCAAATTATAAAATAATACATTTCAATATAAGAAAAGAACAAGATATTAAGAGAAACATATTTGATGAAGAATCATCAAGAACTAGCAGAAATTAAAAAGTCAGTGAAATGAAAAATTCAATCATGGATGAAACATTAAATGAAATTAAACAGAGATAAAGAAACAATTAGCAATCTACAAGACAGAGTGAGTGAATTTCTCTGATTTCAGGATGGTTAGATAAAACTGGATATCCACATACAGAAGACTCAAACTAGATCCCCATTTCTCACCCTGCAAAAAAGTCAACTCATAATGGATCAAAGATCGTAACATAAGACCTGGAACTTAGAAACTACTAGAGGAAAACATGGGAGAAACTCTTCAAGATACAGACACAGGTAACAACTTTCTAAAATGACTCCAATAGCTCAGGAAATAAGAGTAGGAACTGATAAGTGAGAATGATTTAAAAGACTCTACACAGCAAAAGAAACACTCAACAGAATGAAAGAGACAGCCTACAAAAACATATGCCAGCTATTCATTCAACAGGGGATTAATATTCAAAATATATAAAGAACTAAATCACATATGAATAAAAGAAAAAAAAAAGAATTAAATAAACAACCTAATGATGCAACTAAAAAAAAAAGAACTAAAAAAATTAAATGTCAAAAGAAAAATAATCCAACCAAGTAAGTGAGCAAATGAACTAAACAGTTTTCAAATAAAAAAGTACAAATGGCCAATAAATACATGAAAAATGTTCAACATTCTTAGCTATCAGAAAAATGCATATAAGAACTACACTGAGATCCCATCTCACCCCAGTCAGAATGGCTGACATCAAGAAAACAAATAGGCTGGGTGCTGGTGGCTCACCCCTGTAATCTGACCTACTTGTAGGAGGACTGAGTTGGAGGCCAGCCTGGGCAAAAAGTGAGACCCTATCTCAAATAACCCAACACAAAGAAAAGACTGTTGAGGTGGCTTAAGTGGTAAGGCATCTGCCTAGCAAGCATGAGGCCCCGAGTTCAAACCCCATCTCAAAAAATAAATAAAAGAAACAAACAAATTTAAAAAGGAGAGAGAAAGAAAACAAGTAACAGGCTGGGGTTGTGGCTCAAGTGGTAAGGTGCCTGCATAACAAGCTGGAGGCCTTGGGTTCAAACTCCAATACAATCACCTAAAGAAAAGAAATGTCAAAAATAGCAACAAATGTTGGTGAGAATGGACGGAAAAAGAAACCTTATTCATGGCTAGTGGGAATGTAAATTAGTCCAGCCACTATGAAAATCAGAATGGAGGTTCCTTAAAAATTTAAAACTAGAATCTACCATGTACTGATTTAAAGAAGAAATAGGAATAAACATGTAATCTACAAAAAACAACAAACTCCACAAAAAACAGCAAAAAACTTTATACTTCATGGTAAAAATTGCAAACATTCTCTTTAAAGTCAGAAATATAATCACTATTGCCTATAGTCAGCATTTCTTTTCAACATTGTACTGGAGGTCTTACTTTGGACAACAAAGAAAGTAAAAGAAGGCATAAACATTGAAAAAGAAAAGAAAACAACAACTGAATTATTGTTTACACAAAAAAGCAAAAGATTCTCATAAGAGAATTCAGTGTTCCTGGATATAAGACCAACACCCTAAAACCACAACAATTTGATGGTTTGACACACAATTTTTAAAGTAATGGCAGCTCTGTAACTACACATATCTGTAAGGTACCTAGAAATTAGTCTTTATAAAAAGGATATGAAAGACTTGCACAGAAAGAATAAAGTATCAATTTTAGAGATATAAAGTAAAATCTCAATAAATTACAAAATTTATTCAAAGTAATTCTCCTCAAATAAATCAACAAATTCAAAAAAAAAAGTCTCACTCCAGAAAAAAATTTCCAGTGAAAATTTTCATGGAATTTCATTAGCTGATCTTAAAATTCATTAAGAAAAATTAGTCAAGAGTAGTAATTCTGAATTTAAATGACACAAGAAGACTTAGTCTTATCAAATATCAATAGTTCTACAAAACTGTAATGACTAAAAAGCAGAGTGGAGCCAACAGAACCAAATAGAGAGCTGGTGCACATAAATATCTATGGAGAGAAGGGTTACTTACTACAAGTCAGCAGACAAAAAAGCAGAAGTTAGGCTAGAACAACTGTTTCTCCATACATTAACAGATATATTTAGATTTCAACCTCACACAATGAGCAAAAATAGCTTCCAGGTGGATTAAAGAACTAAAGGATTAAAGGAAAACCTAAAAAGTTTGAGGAAAGCAAAGAATAATCTATCATCTTTTGAAAAGGGCATAAAAAGCAAACAACAGATTCCCAAATTTGTCATTAAAAAGCCAAAGACTAGGGGACCATACCTGCAACCCTCAAATAACCAGAAAATAGAAAGAACATTTCCAAATCAGTAAGGAATCTTGGAGAGATTTCAGGGCCATAATAAGTAACTCAGAGAGGAAGAAATCTGAATGACAAATGCCAAAGGGTGAATTGTACTTGACCTCGGCAGACATCAAGGAAATAATTATCGAAGTAATGAGATGCATTTCAAATTTATTCAAGTTGAAAAACAAATCACTTTAGGTATGAGTGAGGAATACAGGCATACAAGCACTCTTTCAGAGTGGGTGTATAAGCTGAACAACTTGGCAATGAGTAGCAGTTTATTCCTATGTGTCCATGCAGAGAAATTTCAGAGTTATGTACAAGGAGATATAAATAAGGATGCTTGCTACACTATTTTTTATAAGGAAATAAAGCAGAAAGAACCTCTTGGTGGGAAAATGGATAAACTATGTTTTTAATACAACAAACTATAATTAACTGATTAAGCAATTAAATGAATTTTTAAACAGAAAATTTCTGGAATATATTTTTGAGCAAAAGAGTTACAAAACAGTATCTATAATTTGATAGCATCTATGTAAACTCTTAAAACACAATACCATGGTATACACTGCTATGGACATATATTATGTACAACAGGCTTTAGAATCATACACAATTTTATAGGAGCGGAAAGGGGAGGCAATGTGGTTTAGATGTATCTGTAATGGTTTGTTTCAGAGAAAAAGAAAGGTGAATAAGGCAAAAATGTTAAAAATCTGTCAGCTCTGTAGTAGATGGGCATATTATTGTGAGTAGTTTTAAGTACAGTGAAGGGCTTCATAAGAAACTTTAAATAAACTGTTACTTCATTCCTATTCTAAAAGCTTTTAGCAGACACTTAAGAACAGTGTGAAGCAGGAACCATCCTCTGTTCTCCTACTCACACTGAGCCGTTGATATTTTCTGCTTTTCCTTCACATATACTTAAAACATAGACAGTATTATTCTGGTAGTGTTAGAACCTTTCACTTTGTTCTTCATATAACGCAAGCATGTTTTCTTGTCATTATTTCAAATGCCAAATTTACACATATATGGAAAAAAATCTCAACCACTATGGAGATATCTCACGATAGCACCTTTATCCTACTCTTGACCCTACCCCTACTGCTAACAGCTTCCCATTTATCAGGTTCAGAAACTACACTTTTATAGCTACAGAATGGAATACCACCATGGTGCCACTGGGTGGAGGCAGAGCTCTCCTGTTGTAATCTGCAGCGTGAGTTAGTTTTTAGAGACAATAAATTTGATCACAGCATTTCTAAACCATCACATTAAATTTCAAACAAACTCTCAAAAGGTTCATATTTCAAATATTTCTGCATATCACAATACTTTAAAACTTTGACCAATTATTCACATTTAGTTTGTTTTAATGTGCTGATCCATCCCCCCCCCATAAAAAGTGTTTTTTAAAAAGGCAAAGAAAAACATTAGTTACTTTACGGAATGCATCTTCGAATACAATTCTGATTCTATGTATTCTGAAGAAAAACTACAAATTTAAAAGGTGCCAGGGGCCAGTGGCTCACGCCTGTAATCGTAGCTACTCAGAAGGCAGAGATCAGGAGGATCATGGTTTGAAGCCAGCCTGTGCAAATGGTTTGCGAGACCCTATCTCAAAAACCCCTTCACAAAAATAGGGCTGGTGGAGTGGCTCAAGGTGTAGACCCTGAGTTCAAGCCCTAGTACCGCAAAAAAAAAAAAAAAGCTATAGTTTTCAAGCAAGTGCATATACTTTTCAACCAGTGCTGTACTGGAAAAACTAAAGGACATGTATTTCAAATAAACAAACAGAACTGACAACAATCAAACTTTGCAGCCAGCCAACTTTTAACTATCACTACCTTGCAGCATGAGGCAAGGAAGGGAATGAAGACCTGTACTTCCGGTGCCCACTGCACTTAGAATTTGCCTCCTTTACTCATCTGCTTGAATACAATTCTGATTCTATGTATTTTGAAGAAAAACTGCAAATTTGAAGAGTTTGTGCCTCCTTACTTTCCTGGCCCTAGAGAAGGGCCTTTCAACTAGAGAATTAAAACCAGAGAAAGGATACAGCTCATAGTCACTGACTGAGTATTCATTGGTAAATTAAGGGCTTTGTTTCATAAAACTGTTCTAAAATAAGTGTCCTCCATTCTTTGGACCCTTGTTCTATCCATACTGTAAAAAGTCACAAATATTGGAAAAATGGACCAGGTAGGCAATAACAAGGATAAAGGATTTTTCAAGTGAATTCTAACATAAGAAAGATACCACTATAAATTTAAAACCTTTGTAAATTTGCAAAGAGTTAAAGCTAAAATATTTGTATTTCACCTTCCCACACAATGTATTCTTACAATGTAAAAAATTTTAAAGCAGAACATAACCAAGCAATGTAATAAAATTACACATGTAAAAAAAACTATCTTTGAGAGAAGTACTACTTTCTAACAATAAAAAAATTATAACCAAGTATGGTGGTGCATGCCTATAAACTCAGCACTTGGGAGGCTGAGGGAGGAGGATTGTGAGTTCAAAGCCAGTTTCTAGGGAGATCTGTAGCAACAGGGAGATCCAGTCTCAAAAAACCCAAAAATATCCTTAAATATATGTTTAATTTAAATATAGTATATAATAAATACAAATTTAAACATAATACATAACATATATTTTAATATAATGTTTTCCTAAACAAGCAGCTTAATTTTGCTAAGAGACAAATTGATTGAGTACTTTGTAAGTTAAACAGAGCAGAGTAATATCCTTTCAATAATAGGACAGAATTGAAAAAGCAAAACAATATACTAAAAAATGTGACAAAATAAAAAAATTAATTACAGACTGTCTCAAAAGTTGACAGCAAGTTAGTGGCAGAGCTAGGATTCAAACAAGGTTTCCAAAATCTTCCCCCACTTTTTATTTTGACTGTAGATTAAGCTGTCATTTGAAATGATGTTTTCCCTCAAAGTTCAGCACTTCAGTTACACAACAATTTGGATTTGTAATGTGCTGTCCTTACTCTGTTTTTAAGGAGTCCCTCATTTCAATTAGTTATAAGAAATGTTTTAAAAACAAAGTTCGGTAGTTTACACTTAATACTTTGAGTTATATATAACAGTTGCTCAAACATTTATGATCCATTATGAAAATTAATCAAGCATTCATGCTTCTGCACAGTTTGTGTATAATTTGTACATAACTAAAATGTATAATATATAAATGTGTACTACATATACTATTCTCAAATAGTAAACATTTAATTAGCAACAAAAAGAAAACAGAGAAAATGAATAATGAACAAAATTTTTGTCTCAGATTTCAAAGTATGTAATTGCTCAAAAGACATGGTAGGAATTTATTTCAAAAACCATACCAATACTTGTTGTTGAACTTGCCACTTACCAGGAAATTGAGACACTATTGGAGGTGTATCTTCATCTAAGTCATCAACTCCCCCAGCAATTGGATAGGGTGGAATGGAGACTCTGGGCATTACCACCCAGCTGTGATCAGAATAAAGGGAAGAGGTCAGGCTGGGAAGTCCCGAGTTATGGGCTATCTGAAAGCCACAGATTTTCTCAATTTGTTGCCAGCGAAAAAGTCGTTCTCGTAAACAAGTTGTCAACTCAGAGAGAGCTTTCCTGAAAAGCCAATATAGGAATTACTTATTGCTTATAAGCTTTAATGTGGCACTGAAAAAAAAGGCAGTTACATGAACAGACCATGGCAATTAACTGATTTCAAGAAGAAATTACCAAATCTTAGAATTACTGTAAATAATGAAACTATGTATGATTCAATGATAAAGTTAAATAAAAACACCTGTAAAGTATACATTTCAACACAATAGCAAATAAAGAGGTAAGATAACATCCTTACTTTGCTTCCAGAATTTTGTGATCTACTTCATCTAGGGAGGAGCTATGTGCAACATGCAGCGTCCCAAAGACTGTGCTTCTCTTCTTTTTAATTTTTTCTGCCTAGAAACCCAAAGGGAGAAAAATAAAGCTAGGTTTGAAAAAATGAATATACATATACTAAAAGTTTATTTTGGTTCTGAATATATTAATAATCATAAAACCAGTGGAGAATTATTAGCCAAGATATAACCCTGTTTTCCAAAAAAAGAAAACAGATGAGGGAGAAAGCATGCTTTCTTAAGTCAATCAATGTAATTGAAAACTTGGTTCTGAATTTTTCTCTAATTTCTATGGTTGAGAAAGATCTGAATCTTCTATTAAAAGTGATAGAAAAACATTAGCTATATCCTACTGTGATAAGGTGTTAGTAAGTGAACTGAGTATGTATTTTTTCTAGAATTCACATTAACACTTACTCTTATTCCACACATTTAATAAGCACAAACGTTAATTTCTAGTTAACTACTAACCTGAATCAAATATGAAGCGGCAACCTAAGAGGAGAAAAGCTCTGTATAAAACATTTATGATAATGATAATAATGATAATTTCTAAAGGAAACTAAGGTCACTTTGAAAACTATATATGCACTTCTCTTCATATAGTAATCAATTTACACAATAAATTTTAATCCAAGAAAATAATCTGCAATAAAACTGTTATTCACTTCTTTGTATTCCAGTTGACTCATTCCTCTAGAATGCAGTTAAGAAACAATAAATTTTGAAGAGAGTACCTCATCCTTAGCAATAGCTAGCTGCATTTCAGCATTCTGTCTTTTAATATTATAGTACTGTACTTCTACTTCATGAGTTAATTGAAGCCATTTTTGAAGTGCATCTGGAACAGACCAGTTGCTTCTCAGTTCAAATTCTTTCTCAGCCTTTTTTAGAGCCATGCGAACCTAGAAGGACAAATAAAGGAAGGCATAGAGGCTCAATTAAGGTATTTTTAATAGCAAAAGCAAAGATAAAAAGCAATTTTAATTATACTCATTACAACATCTTTTTAAATCACTAAGTTGAAATACAATATATCTCTTGCATTAAAACTACAACTGAAGTTTTAAGTGCATCTTAAATCCATTAAGTGAATTCACTAAGCAAAACTGTTAAAGGCAGAGAGGACAGAGGAGAGATACACAAATTAAAAGTGATCACACTTTTCCCATAATGCATTTTCTGTTTATGAAGTAGGACATGAACAAATATCAAAACTGGTGGATACCTGATCTATTATTTCTTTTAATGTTCCAAGAAGAGCCTACTAGAGCTCCTTAACTATAAACTTAATTTTTAAAAGTAATTATACTTTTGTGACATCTTCATGTCCAGTTATTTCTCAATATAGTATCTGCCTATTCCAATCTTTCACCCCTTCTTCTACTTAACTCACTGCTTCGAAATACACCAGAAAGTAGATATCAAGCATTTATTTATAGAGCATGTGGAAATTTGAAGAAAACAGATAACATGAGAATCTACTTAACTTTTTTCTTGAGAAACTATGCATACCCTTCAATGTAAGGAGGTATTTCTCCCAGCTGCCCTTTAAGGGAGCTAGCAAATAAATGGGCCAGGGAGGGGAGAAACTTCGTGTTTTAGGTGTTAGTAAGTACTAGGAAAAAATATCTTAAGAAAAGCCTTGCTAAAAAATGACACAGGAAGAAGAAAAAAATCTATTCTTGAAATGATTTACTTAAAAACTAGCAACAGTGAAATATAAAGATATGTGTAGACCTGATGGAGTTTGTAGTATTACATGCCCTTCAGACAAAGTGATGAGTGAATTACATAGCACCCTGCTTCTGGTGAACCATAACTGTAGTTAACTGCCTTTGAAGCTAACTAAGGCTAACTAAGGTAACGACATTCCTAAACTAAAGAGCAGAGGAATGTTTGATCTGAACAAACCCAGCATATTTAAATAAACTTTATTGTGTGCCAGAATAAACTAAGAAGAGGACTGTACACAAACTTCTGGTAATGAAATAGAACAGCTGTCAGATACTGTGAAAAAAGAATTATGTAGAAAAGTATTTTTTAAAACTCCAAAATTTAAAAAAAAATCACATTGGGATACACTAAGTAGACCTACTGAGAGAGGGGAGGCAGAGAGGGAAAAGAGAGGGAGGGAGGGAGGGAGAGAAAGAAAGACACACAGAGAGAAAGTAAAAGTAATGGTAAGATAGGACTTATTCACTGAAAGCAAGTTCTAGGCAATACTTTCCTGGCATAATTGATCATGCAATGTGCATGGAACAATGTGTGTTTAGTAACACAGTTGGGTAAGACATGTGGCATCCTTGTTAATCTCTCAGGAACAGAGACTTTGACATCCTATTCTGTATCACACCACAAAGTATATGTCAGCAAACCTTTTTCTCACAAGATTTTGATACTTAACTTTCTATATAATTTTCATTTCTAAGGTAGTATACAGAGAATCTTTATGATTACAGAGAAAAACTGGTGAAAATCTTCTGAGAAAAATAAATTCATTTAACACATTTTCTATGTTTGTATTGAGCTCTTTAAGATCACCAGGGCAATTTCCTCTAAAGAGCTCAATACAAACACATTTAAGACAGAAACTATGAATTTGAGCATAAACTGATACTGAACAATGTCTACATTGACTGTTAAATAATGTCTCAAAGTTTTGGAATTGTGACCTTACCATAATAGCAATTATTCAACTGTTTTCTCTGCTATCATTCATAAATTTACTATCTGACCAAAATTCTAACACTTAGTTTGAATTACATGGTTATTCAATCTGAGTAGTTATAGTACCTTTTGCAAATGGTGAATTATTGTTTATAGGTATGATAATTATTTTTATTTATAAGACAGCAGTAAGTAACAATGAGCTACAGAAAGAAACGTCTGAAAACCTGGTGTCTAAACCCAATTTTATTAACTCTGAAAACTTCAGCAAGTTCTTAACTCCTTACCCTTATTGTCTAATGTAGAATGGAAATATTAGGACTTATTCTAAGATTCTTGAGAGTTTTAAAAGAATAAAATAATTGATGTAAAAGCTATTTAAATTACACAAAAATCTAAAGTGGAATATTAGTCATCCAAAAGTTTTTGTTTTAGGGAAAATAACACTATACAAACCACATACAAAATTTTTTTGCCTTCTAATTTTGAGTAGTCAATTATCACCTAGGAAAAAACATAGCAATGCTTCAAATTATATGGAATTGTAGTTTATGTGTTGGTATGTGTAAGTTAATTTCTAGTTAAATTTCCTTCTACAACTGAAGCTTTTAACAGTAGTATGGGGAAGACAAGAGACTTCGAAATATGACATACAAAATCTTGCCTTTGTCATGTAATAGCTATCTAATCTATGGCAAGTTATCAAAGCTCTCTATAAATCTCATCTGAAATATCTATGTATTGTAAGGATTAAAGTTTATGAGCAAACCATTGGCCATGTGTTAAGCATAAACTTCTGGCACATAGCAAACACTCAGAAAACTGTTTCTTATCAATATAATCGTGTTGGACAGAGTTCTTTCTAAAATACCCATTTCTCCTCTGTAAGCCATCTCTTGATGGCTCAGAATCTTTTGAGGATTATGTTTATACTGTCACATGATATTGTGGTAACCTTAACATCTATTGAGGTATGCAAGGTCTTTATGTAAAAATCACAGATCTGAATGATCATCATTCTTGAGTTCCCCCCACTCTTTTTTAAAATATTGTATCTTCTCTCTCAATGTGAGGCAGTAACCTGTAAAATACTACTATCAGTTTTTTTTTTTCTTTTTCTTATTTGCTTTCTTATCTGCAAAGGTTAGAAAAATAGCTAACAAGCTTGCTAGAAGCCCTGAGAACAAATCAAGAGAGAGAGACATGTCAGTGGGAACAGGCCAGGAGTTCTCACAAGAATAAAAAGAACATACTATCTAATTGCTGGACACAACATAATTTTGGCTAGGCTTCTTTTGCTAACTCCCTGATTCTTTACTACATTCTGTACAAGTAAGATATCCCAATATGTCAGTTTTTAAAAAGGTATTAAAAGAAAGAAAGAAACAGATGTCTAGGGTATGTGGGGAAGCTCAACTAACAGTAAAAAAAAAGAGAGAGAGAGAGAGAGAGAGAGAGAGAAGCCTGATTTAACAATAACAATAGAAAAGCCTGAGTTCAGTCCAACAAATCCTCCTAAAATGACAACCTACAAGAAAGTAGTAATGCACAGTATATTCTCCCATAAATTGAAATTAAAATTTATTCATCACATAATTCTTATCTCTTATTTAACAATTGATTGAGAAGACAATAGTGCAAAAAACAAAGTGGAAGGTTCTTGCCCCTGCTTTACAACTAACTAATTTTGAGCAAGTCTCCCAATCCTCATTTTGTTCCTCAGTTTCTTCTTCAGTAAAGAAATGGTCAAAGTCAGAAAAAGGACAGAGGACCATGAAAAGAGAGGTTCGAATAGCATTCTTTGAAGATGGAAGAAGGGTTCATGAGCCAATGCAGGCAGCCTCTAAAAGGGGGAAAGGCAAAGAACAGACCCCTCTGGACTGCAGTAGAATCATAGCCCTGCAGACCCATGTTCAACCCTGACCTTCAGAACATTAAGAAAATGAATCTTATGTTTACTTATGCCATGGTTGTGACAATTTTTATAGCAGGAAATGAATGCATATGCATACAATTAAATTTGCCCAGAACCTTACTTTCTCCAAAAGACTGTGCAATGCCTGAATGCCTACTACATTCTATTTCAAATAAGTGGGTAGGGGAAATAAATATTAGAAGGATGAATTTTATACAGCTTTGAAACTTTTTAGCAGATTATGCTCTAAAACCATTTAACAGGAATCAAATGAATGCCTAATAGAGATCCTTTACCTTTAGAAAAGTTCAAAATTAGATGTAATTTATTTTTTCATGACAAACGCATATTACAATGTTAAATAAATTGTAATGTTAACAATTAACATAGCATAAAGTAAGATTTCTTGAAAGAATGAACATGATGGTAACTTTGTTATTCAGTTACCACTTTGTTAATTTAATATATGGACTTTGATCACTATAATAACAAACAAATGAGGAACAGTATACTGTATTTTATACTGAGGAACTAATAAATATGTACTTTTTAAACATAAGTACCTGCTCCAATTCTTGCTCTGCATATTGGCGTCTACTCAATTCACATTCAGCTCCCTCCCTTAGCTCTCTTAGCCGACAAGCCTCCTCCTTGGCATAATTGATTTCATCCATCATTTTGCGTTCTAGATTTTGCTTTTCTACAGCAACATTTCTGTTTTCTTCCTGTGCCTTTTCAAGCCTTAAAGAAGAATAAAAATTTCTTGTAAGAGTTTCCAAAATTTGGCTGGAGGAGTGGTTCAAGCGGTAACAGTGCCTGCCTAACAAGAGTTTAGAAATTTCATTTTCTTTATGAAAGAAAAAATACTGTGTCATGCCATTTGATACCCATTTTAATCAGAATTCACAGCATTTTCTATTAACCTTAAATTTGGGTAATTAAAATATCAAGCAACCTACTATACAGCTATTTTGGTTACCTTGGGTTCAAGATAGAGATAACAGGTAAACACTCTTTTGCAAGAAGACTCTAAAGAAATTCATAATTATTTAAATCAAGTTAAAAATAAAATTAAACTCCACATATAATGCCACATCTTAATTTCCTTCCACTGATTCCAAGTACCATTTATAATAAACATGTAATTATGACAATTTTCTAAAAATATGAAATAAAATGTACTTTATATAAATAAAGTTAAGATTTTTTCACTTACCTCTCTTGTAAGTCCATAAGACTTTGCTCTGCAGTTTGTAGACTCTCTAAGTCTTTCATCATTTTTGCAACATGTTCTTTTGATGTCTTGTTCTGTGTATAAGCAAACCAACACCCTCCAACACCAATTACTATAGAAACTGTGAGAATAAAATCCTTCATCCAGTTATGAGGTGGGCCTATGAAGAGAATCACAGATACTTGTTTACAACATTCTTTGAGACTAGTTCGATTTCTTTTCAAATTACCTGATAACATCATGTTCTCTGAATTAGGCTTGCTCCCAGGTTAAAGGAGAATATAAATATTCCTGACCAAACTGCAATGGACACAATCTAACTGAAGACAATCTCCCAATGGATTCAGTCAAAAACACAGGATAAGAAAAAGGTAGTCAGGGATCCTATCTAGGGAACGCTTGGCATAATAGGCAGGGTTCTCTTTCCTAAGGCTTGTAATTTCCAACAACTCTCAAAAGGGGAGTTCCAGCTGTTGCACCAACTGCTCTCTTAGCCTAAGCCAAAAAAGAACCAGTAAAGTCATGGAACCCAATCGACCACTCTAGTAACCCTTTTTCAGAAGGACCATCCACAAGATGGTATCATAGAAACTTGAAAGTGTCCTCAGTCTAAGAATTTAATTATTTTTGCCTCCTAACTTGTCATCTGTGAAAGCCATTTTTCTTGTATTAATTTTGTTATTCTTTTTAGCTTCCGAAAAATAAAACGCAGTTCCTCTAAAATGTGTACTCTTCACTTTCTTCCAAAGCAGATTGAAATTTGAAATTAAATAAACATATAAACCTCCTTCTGGGGAAAAAGTATTCCTATCAAAGTAAAGAAACACAAGGTTTACTTTCTTCACAAATACAACATAACACTTTTCTAAATGTTCTTCTTCAAAACAATCAAGTAACATAATCCACTTTGCGCTCCTGCCAAAATAGTCTTGTTACTTTATAAAGCTTCAAGTGGATCTTTGTTTTTTGATCTATATCTAAAAAATCCTCTCTTAATGACTAATGCAATCACTACGATCCACTACTTCATGCCATCAGGACAGTTAAACTGCCATATTTTTAAGGGTTCTTCATTGATTATCCAGCTATAATAACATTAGTATTAAAAGTATTATACAGATCCAATGTTTCAAATTTTAAAATTCTAAATTATCATCTAATCCTAGGGTTTGCAATTTTTTACAGTAGTAACCCGACTTGAAAATTCACATTTCATGTTTTGATGACAGAAAATTCCATCCTATAAATGGAATCCTATAAATCTTTCATTTCAAGATAGTATCACTTTCTTTCACAGTTAATAAATGATTCTCCTTAGTTATCTACTATCTCTCTTATTTTCTCCTTCCTTAAACAACACAGAGATGATCGGTCTACACCCCTGCATCATACTGTGAGTGACAGAGATACTAACGTGTCAGAGGTCCAAACAAAACCACATCCAGTGCCTTAAGCTGAAGTTTCTGTCTGTGACTCCGGTCGCTGATTTTCAACTGGGAAATCATAAAGGAAGGTTCATGCACTGCTATCCTGTTTGTTTAAAAAATACATACATATATATTAAATGAAAGTATTTCTAGTGCATAAATTTAAATATTTGGACAAAAAAATTAATACTTTACATATTAGTGATAATCGCTGTAAAAATCTCATCCATTTTATTTAATACTTTATGTTTCAAAAACTCTTTCCAAATGTAAACTTAGCTATTGAGAGACAACCATGTGTTAATAATTTAGTTGCTATGCTGATAAATTGTTTCCTAAGGTTACTTTCTGCTACAACTAACTATAATTTAGAAGTTTATTTTATAATCATTAACTTTGGCATTTTATTATCATTTCAGAAATAATAATGAAATTGGAAGTAACTTACTTAACATCATTAACCAACTTTAAAAATATAGTTCTCAACTCAGCCCATTTTGTTATGTGTGCACACACACATATAAAATTACATTTTAATGTTTAAAATGTTTTAAAAATAAAGTATGCAAAAGATAAGTGGAAAGTATGAAGAGACTTTCTGGGTTGGGATGGATTGGGAAAGGGATTTATACAGTAAGTAGGTCTGAACAATTTTATTAGCAAAGAAGAAAGCATGTAGGGAGACAAAAGTGAAATAAGGAAATAAGATCACTTTGTTTGGGATTACAAATCCAAGCAGCCTAGTACTCAACTTAGAGTTCTTAACAGCCAAGTATAACACTAGTAACAAACTTGTAATAAAAATCTAAAACACTAATATAATTAATAATGACAATACAAACAAGTGGGATCCTGTGCAATCGGCTTAATTAATACTCAAGAAAACCCTATAATATATATTCATCTCCATTTCATAGCTGAGGATATTTGTGGGAGGCTGAGTAATGTGTCCAAGGTTACAAAATTAGTAAGAGGTAAGGCAGAAATTCAAACCCATACAATTAGCCCAAAGACTACTCTTACCCATCCCATTTATTCTGGAAGAATTCAGTGCCTCTGAGTAGAGAAAAATTATAGGAACCCCTATGGGGCTTATAAAAACTTTGCAGTGTAACTTTCAAAATGCTTTCCTTCATATTCTCTAAAGATATCTTCTCAATATGTCTCTTACACCTTTAACACAACACTTATCAAAACGCTTGATGGCAAAAATTATGTTTCATCTCTGTATCTCCTAGCATGGTACTTTGCAAAAGAAGCAGCTTAATAAATGTTTGCATAATAGCTGAATGGATGGACAGATGGATGCATGGATGAATTAATAGCAATACCGCTATTAACAACAACAAACTAAACTTAAGAAAGACAATGAGATACAATATTGAGGGGGTGGGGGGAGAGGGAGGGGGTGGAGTGGGTGGTAAGGGAGGGGGTGGGGGCAGTGGGGAGAAATGACCCAAGCCTTGTATGCACATATGAATAATAAAATTTAAAAAAAGGAAAAAAAAAAAAAAGAAGAAACTGTAACAGAATTTACGCATGGTTTGTTATGAGTCCAGAGGTGGAAATGATTCGTCCTGAGTAGATGAGGGTGTCAGGAAAGGCCAGAGATGGGAAAAAATGAGGAGGCATATGTCAAGTGAAGAGAACTTGACTACAAACTCTAATAATATGAATTATATTGAATATAGAAAATATAATAAAAGGCCTAAGATAACCATTATAGCTAATACAAAACTAATGTAACTATAATATATTTAACAGTGTTTAAATGTTGTAGAATTAAGTACTGACATGTTTTAAATTTTGGATTTTTTTGAATTTGGGAATTTTTGCATATATACAGTAAGGTATCTTGGGGATAGGACCCTAGTCTAAACACAAAATTCATTTATATACATATAACCTAGAGATGATTTTCTGTAACATTTTTAGTGCACCTGAATTCTGACTGTGATCCATCACATGAGGTCCAGAGTTTTCCATTTGTGGTATCACATTGATGCTCGAAAAATTTCAGATTATAGAGCATTTCATATTTTTGGTTTTCAACAGTAACACATTGTTGTAACCCACCATCTGGAATGTGTAAAACTTTCTTATACATTTTTGTAACCAACTCTTACATGTATAGGTAATACTACAAAAAACTCTGTAGCTATAGCAATATTGCTCCTTTAACTCATGTCACTGTCATATAAAAGGGTCTTGAGGAAGAATTTTTTTTTTTTGCAGTACGGGGGCTTGAACTCAGAGCCTACACCTTGAGTCACTCTACCAGCCCCCTTTTGGTGAAGGGTTTTTTTGAAATACAGTCTGGCAGAACTATTTGCCCAGGCTGGCTTCGAACCGCGATCCACCTGATCTCTGCCTCCTGAGTAGCTAGGATTACAGGCGTGAACCACCAGTGCCAGGCGAGGAAGAATATTTTTACCTGTTTTTCCTTCCCCTTTACTAAAAAAGGCTTCCAATGGACTGAGCTGAAAATGTCTACATTATCACTTTTTCCAGTTACATGCTATTTTTAAAATTGGTCTTGATAAGTATGTAGCTGCTGTCTCTATAAGCCTACCAGAATTTCAAGCATCTCTCATAACCCTTACTTACTTAGAAGAAAAAAAATGTCTATACCACTTATTAACAGAATATGGATTTATCTATTTTATTTCATGTTTCTGTTATATAAAATAAACTTTCCAAAGAACAACATAAGAAAAATAGTATGACCACATTAAAATCAGGGCATTATATATAACCTAAAAAAACCAAATCCCATTTTAACATACTAACCTATTTTAACTTATCGACTTCTTTTATTTAAAAGCATGAACTAAATTTTATTTCGTTCAGCATCAAGTTATAACCACAGAAGATACTCAGTACTTATTGAATAAACATTTATTCCCACAATTTCACCATCATTCCAATCATACATGTAACAAAATCAGAAATGCTGATGTTGATATTCAGAATACGATTTTAGAAATCTGAAAACTTTCAACCTGATTCAAAATACAAATTCTCAAACTGACAAAAGCTGCTTATTTAAATTGAGCATGTAAGTGAACTGATAAAGGAAATGATGTGTTTATTTCATCACATATAATAAATATATTGTAGTAACTGATTGATGTAGGAATCAATTTGGGAAGAAATGGAACATAAGAAGCAACTTTGTAAGGGCAATGTTCTGGTAGAATCATTGCACATATTAACATTTAAATCTTTTTTTTTTACCTTTTCAATTTTTTTTTAATTTTTATTTTTTTATTATTCATATGTGCATACAATGCTTGGGTCATTTCTCCCCCCTGCCCCCACCCCCTCCCTTACCACCCACTTCACCCCATCGATACCCAGCAGAAACTATTTTGCCCTTATTTCTAATTTTGTTGTAGAGAGAGTATAAGCAATAATAGGAAGGAACAAGGGTTTTTGCTGGTTGAGATAAGGATAGCTATACAGGGCGTTGACTCTCATTGATTTCCTATGCGTGTGTGTTACCTTCTAGGTTAATTCTTTTTGATCTCACCTTTTCTCTAGTTCCTGGTCCCCTTTTCCTATTGGCCTCAGTTGCTTTTAAGGTATCTGCTTTAGTTTCTCTGCGTTGAGGGCAACAAATGCTAGTTAATTTTTTAGGTGTCTTACCTATCCTCATATCTTCCTTGTGTGCACCCGCTTTTATCTTGTGACCAAAGTTCAATCCCCTTGTTGTAACACTTAAATCTTAAAGATAGTTAGGTTAACCAGAATGTACAATTTAGGAAACTAACAACTTGTTCCAGATATTTAAGAGTTAATTTGGCATTTGACATCAGACCTATTTGGGTTTAAATATTGCCCTAGACAAAATACTTAACTTGTCTTTGACAATATTTATTAGCCTGTAAGATGGCAATGATAATACATACCTTCAATTTAATCAGGAGGCTTAAATGAGGTAATATAAAGTCCTAAGCAACATATATTTTTAAATGTTGCTACTATATTTTTGTTTATTAAACATCATTTCTAATTGAAATATAACTTAAGGCTGCTGTGATTAATTTGTTATTATCATTAAAAGAACAAAAAGATACTTACATTAATCCAGTCAAATAGGTATCTTCATAAAAATAATCAGTATCAAATGAATAAGTTTTCCTTAGCTTTACTAGGTAATCAGCGCTTGAACCTTTGATGTTTTCCAAAAATAATATAGTTGACCCATCTCCTAATTCTCAAAATTACTTACCTTGGGAATAAACTTTTTTAGTATGTGTGCTGCTGAAGCACTCACAGGAATAAATTTTTTAAGCACTTGGTTGTTTAGACAAGAAAAAGTGAGGGGCAGATAATGTAGCTCAGTAGTAGAGCACTTGCCTAGCATGTGCAAGGCCCTGAGAATTTGCTACCCAGCACTGCAAATAAAGTTGAACAAATGTTGAAAATACCTTAACATGATTAAAAATGAATATATTTATATTTCCTTGGTATCCCCAGCCACAGAAGTAACTTATAGACTCAACATTGAAAAACAGTATCTAGTATATAATTCTCCATGAGTGGAAAAGCACATTTGTGTAATAAAGACTCACCTGGGAAGTGTTGTTCCTTTGACATTATTGTCTCTAAAATTCTTCTCATATTGTGGGAGTTCAACAAATTCTGTTAGCCACTGCAGGGTGTCCTCAAGGGTCCAATTATGAACTGCAAAAGATAAAAAAGGAAGTTACATTTTAAACACACTGCTTTCAGAATTAAAATATAGGCACATGCTATAACCTTAGGGGAAATAAAAATGTTATACTGAATTTTTGATTCAATTTATTAAACAGTAAGTACTAGTAAGTGTCTAGCACTCTATGAACAGAAGCTAAAAAAACAGTAAAAGACAACTCCTACCCTTACAGGCTTATAATCTACAACAGTGAAAACACATAAAAGCAATTAGCACAAGTATTAGCATGATTAATTCTAAAATAAGCACCTCTACAAGAATTTGTACAGGATAAAATAATCCATCATTTCCCTGGTTGTAGATAATGTAACAAATATTATATTTAATCAATCCTTCACCTGCCCATCAATCCATAAAATTCTGATAAACCTTCTGAGTATCAGGTTGTAGTCTAAGCACTGGGGTATACGGCATTCAACAAGATGGATAAGGAACTTGTCCTTGGGGAACTTAAATTCTTTTGGCAAAGGTTCAGGAAAGGCAATTTAGAAAAGAAGGAAGAGATGGAGGGAAATTTCAGGTAGTGATTTGTTATTAAGAAAGGAAGGAAAGATGTACGTTTGCTTCTCAAGAAGATGGTATCTGAACTAACACCTAAAATTGCCACATTCTGAAGATCTAAGAAAAAAAAAATCCCAATTAGAGAGGAAAGCTAGCATAAGTCTTCTGAGATGAATAACCCAGGAGTGCTTGAGAGATAGAAAATTGGAGAGGGTCCAGGTTATGGAATTCTTTTCAAGAACTCTGGATGTTTTTCTAATTTCAATAGGAAGGGAAATAATCTGTTTATAAAATATAGTTCTTCAATACAATATGGGAAATGGGAAAAAATAAGGTCATTCCTTATATGATTGTTCAGGCAAAAAACGTTAGTGCCTTAGACTGTGGTGGTAATACGGAATTAAATGTGGTAACAATTGTTCAGACTCTGATGTATTCTGAAGATAGTATTAATAAGATGTGTTAATGAAATGGACAGAGTTTGGAAAACCAAAAGTAGGTGTTCTAGTTTAGATCTGGAACATCCTCCAAAGGTCCATGTGTTAAAGGCTTGCCCATTCCATGGCACTATCAGGATGGGTGATGAAGGCTTTAGGAGGTAGGCTGCATAATGAGAGGTTTTAGGTCATTGAGATGTGCCATCAAAGTGCATAGAAGGACCCTGGTCTCTTCCTCTTTTTCTTTTTTACCCCCAGGGAATGGCTTTGCACTGTCCTGTTCTCTTGCTGTGATATGCTGCCCTTGCCCTTACCAGAGGTTTAAAGCAATGTGTCCACCCAATCATAGACACATATCTCCAAAACTATAAACTTAAATAAACCTTTGTATTGTAACATAATATAACTTTGGTATTTATTACAAAAACAGAAAAGTGCCTAAAAATGGGAGCAGGGGCAAGTGGGGCAAACAAAATTCTATTTTTAGACATCTGTTTGAAGCATGAATTAGACAGCTTAGTGTAGATGATACAATAGTGGTCAGATGTTACAACTATGGAGCTCAGAGGAAAGTAAAGTTGAGGATATTAAAGAGATATTAATGGGGAGTCATCAGCAAACAGATGATCTTAGAATGTAATTGCCGGAAAGAGTAAAGACAGCCATTAATAGTTTCTAAGAGTCTAGACCTAAACCAGGAACAAAATGGTAGCTAACACCTCTTTGGACATTTATTTTAAATCCTTTATATGAATTTTTTTTCTTTAAGTCTGAAAAAAAACATAAAAAGATGCTAACAGGACTATCGCCATTTTAGAGATGGGAAACTGAGAAATCAATGAAACCAAAACAGTAAGTAGTAGGACTGGATTTGAACTTAGGCAAACTGACCACAGAACCTGGCATCACACTACTCTGAAGTAAAATGCTAAATAACAGCAAAGATATAAACAAGCAGCTAAACACTGGAAAGAATGCAGAGGGTTGTGCTTACTTACAGAGTAAAAGGGGCAATAATGAGTTTTTCCAATGAGAAGGCAGTAAGTATACTTGAAAACTGAATAGTGCTATATTGTCTGTATTTGATTTGAGATTTGGGAAAATGGAGTGCTTATAGACCACACAAGAGGAGAAAGGAGAAGAAAACAAGGGAGCAATAAATGCAGATCTGGGAATCTATCTGTGTATAAATAGATCTAAGAAAAGAGCTTTCTGCTAAACTACAGAAAATTCTGAATTCATATTTGCACACAAAGCCAAGTTTTCACAATCTGCCTTTTTCATTTATATGTTCTTCAAAGAAAAAAGTAAATCAAACAATTAACTAACAAAACCTTCACTGAAAACTGTATATGGTGAGTGTAATTTTCTACTGAGACAAAGCTTTGACTGTTCATTGTTTTCATGCTTTTGTTCTTCTCATGAATCCCTGTCATAAAGCCTGGATGTGGGCCTGAGGCTGCTACATCCATTTCACCAAAGAAATGAAGGTATCAGCCTTAAGGTCAGGCCTGGGTGCTTTCCACTGAATCTAATCTATTCAAAGTATCCTTTTTTTCATTTAAGTTTCTTCCTATCCAAGATGAACTGCTTTGAGAACTGCCCTGTCTTGACTGCCAAGACACCCACAGCACAGCTGCACTGCGCACACCCACACAAAATCCTCAGCCAGGAAAACAGGATACAGTTCTCTCTGTCGTTTCTCTGATTGTTCACTAGTAATAGGCCATGATCTAAACATTCCAGCTCATCAAAATATTCCCTCAATTCCCAATGAGACAATATAGAAAAGAAGAAAACTCAAATGCAAAGGATTACATATTTAAACTGCACAAATCCTAGCTATTATCCTACCTAAATAAATAGAATACCATAGTGCTTCTAAAGTAGTTTTCTTTAAAATTAATCTTTATAGCCTAACACGAGATTCTAACACAAAGTGGGCAGTTACTTTGGGGAGGTTCACTTCTCCTTCTGCTGTCTGGTTTCTTTGATGGTGCCTTGTGAGGACCTTCATTTCTCACGTCCAGTACTTGCATTTTACGTTAGCTTTAACCGCTTCAGATATCCTGGCTGTCTTTCAACCCTCAGGACAGACCATACTCTGTCCTTCCTCTGTGCCTTGTGAATAAGGTTCCCTCAATATATGAAACCCTTTCTTTCAAACCCTCCACCACATCTCTGCCTATTTATTTTACTGAACCTCCATATCACAGCTAAAACTGTAATCCCTCAGGGGATCCTTTTTAAACACTGTTATTATAATTGCAAATCATTCTGTGTTTTTATGCATAAAATTTAACTAATAATTATTTATTACTAGGATTATTCTTATATCTCTTCATCCCACTAAAGAAAGTAAAAATTTCTTGTGCAGCATTCTAGCCATACCACTTGGAACTCAGAAGATGTGCAACAAATTACTTGTTGGGTGCTGCTAAATGCATGAGGCAGAACATGTTTAACTCACAGGTATTATGAAAATCTACATTTACATTTCAGTGAAGAGATCCAAATAAACAAAAGGGTTTGTCTGCATAGAAATTCTTGATGCTGAAGGAGTTTTCATTTAAAAATTATCCAGTTTCTCACTTGTCTTTTATATTTGCTGCTGCTTCATAGCACTCCCACCAGAGGGCAGGCACAGAAGGACATGGGTTGTTTTTTTGGGTTTTTTTTTTTTTTTTTTTTTTTTTAATGTATTTTACACTGGGCACAATGACTCACATCTATAATCCTAGCTACTTGGGAGACTGAGACCAGAGAGATCACCATTTGAGGCTAGCTCAAACAAATAGTTCATGAGAGCCAATCTCCAAAAATAATCAGAGCAAAATGGACTGGAGGTGTGGCTCAAGGGGTAAAATGCCTGCTCTGTAAGTGCAAAGTCCTGAGTTCAAATTCAATCTCACCAAAAAAAAAAAGAATTTTACAATTCACAGAGCTATAGAAATGGCAATTTCTACATTGTTTCTGCTTGAAATTATGGCCATAATATAGATTCATGCTCCACAGTGATTTTTAGCAATTTAGTCCAAGACTAATAAAAAGAATTCTGGAATGGAAAGAGACCTGTTTCAGGTCCCAGCTGTGCCACTGATTCATGCTGGCATCAGAGGCAGAGTATTTCATTCTGGCTCAGTTTCTTAATACACAAAATGATGAAATTAAGATAGACCATCTTTAAAACTCATTCAAATTTTGTTTTTAATAATTCCATTATAACAAAATAGTGTTTAAGCACTGCAAAGTAAACAGTTAACCTAGAACAGCAGAATATAGAATAATGAGGGTAAAAGTATTCTAAGAACTTTTAGGACAGCAATAAAAACTGCTACTATTTATTAAGTATTCATTAAATATCAGATTTGAGATTGTTATTTCAAATAATTATTGCAACAACTCTTTGAAGTGGGTACTTTTATTATCATGTTGATAAAAATTTATGAAGGTTAAATTCTTAATTAGATACAACAGACTAATATATGGCCAAAATAGGTTTCAGACTAAGCCTGTTTTTATAATTGTAACCTGCAGTCATATTTACAGCTTTCTAAATGTACCATGTTCCCCTATGCCCCATGTCAATAAATGGTTTTCCTTTCTTCCTTCTTTGCCAGGCTTGCTCTTCCTTAGTATTTATGATTCAGATCAGAAACTCCTTCCTCCAGAGAGTTTTTCTAACCCACCCATTTCCACATTATAGTTGTTCTTTCTTGGGCTCTCTGATCATCCTATATCTGCCACAGGACCTACCACATACAATAATGTAATTGCCCTCAACCAATTTACTCTCTGAATAATGAGTTCTAAGAGGTCAGGAACTGACTCTTTTATCTAGCATTCACAAATAACTCTAAAATGCCACATTCCTTTGATATAGGACCATGATGTTTTATCTTCATGCCCAACTTGGTTAGATTGAGAAGTGTCTAAGAGATTAAGTATGTCTCTGGTTGTGTCTGTGAAGGTGTTTTCAAAGAGGATTAACTAGGGCAGGGGAGATGTGCCCTAAATGTTGACAGGGCAGA